AGATGAAGATGCAGCTGTTCTTACTAACGTTTTGAAAACTTGTACCAATAAATTAGTTGAACAAAAGTTTGTTTCTTTGAAAAACTCGAACAGCTGGTACAATTTGGATCTTTTGCGTCTTAAACGTAAGAGGGACAAATGGTACAAAAAGTTTTGTAGATCTAATAGTGATAATCATTGGAATAGGTACACGGTCGCGCGTAATAAATATTCACAATCGATTAAGAAAACTCGATGTGAATATATTCAGAGGAAAATTGATCAGCATCAAAACAACAGCAAAGAGTTATGGAAAATTTTGAAATCTTTGATGAAGCCTAGTAATTGTAAATCGCGGACCATAACTTTTGATGGCATATTAGAACAGTCAGAACAAGTAATTGCTTCTAAGTTTAATGACTATTTCGTCGAGAGCGTTTCACTGATCAATCAATCTATTGAACTGATCAATGAACCGGACGAAATAAAACAGCCGATTAATAGTAATTGTAGATTTGATGGTTTTCACCCAATTACATTAGATGAACTTAAAAATATTTGCTTTTCATTAGGAAAAACGGCTGGAGTAGATAATGTTAATGCTAGAGTTATTCAAGATTGCTTTCATGTCATTCGACACACTCTGCGGGACCTTATTAATCAATCATTGCAATCTGGGCACGTGCCGCATATTTGGAAAGAATCTTTAGTTGTTCCTATACAAAAAGTTGCTGGGACGATTAAAGCCGAAGAGTTTCGTCCCATCAACATGTTGCACACATTAGAGAAAATTTTGGAACTTGTTGTAAAAGGCCAGCTGTTAGAATATTTAAATAGTAACTGTTTGTTGATACCGGAACAATCGGGATACCGGGAAGGCCATTCTTGTGAAACCGCGTTAAACTTAGTGTTAGCTAAATGGAAAGAAAATTTGGAGCATAAAGATACGATTGTTGCTGTGTTTTTGGATCTAAAACGCGCTTTTGAGACAATTTCTAGGCCCTTATTGTTGAGAACAATCAAGCGCTTTGGAATTTCGGGTTCTGCATACAAATGGTTTGAAAGCTATTTATCTGACAGAACACAAAGGACTGTTTTTAATGATTTTGTATCTTGTCCCGTTGACAATGACCTTGGAGTGCCTCAGGGAAGTGTATTAGGGCCCCTTTTATTTATTATGTATATTAATGACATGCGACGAGTTTTACGGTTTTGTGATATTAATCTTTTTGCTGACGATACTGTGTTATTCATTGCAGCTAAAGATTTAGAAGAAGCCGTTTCACGCTTGAATGAAGATTTGCGTTCTCTAAGTAGATGGTTGAAGTATAAACAATTGAAATTGAATATAAGTAAAACTAAATTCATGGTAATTTCGCGGAATCGTGTAGATGATGATGTCTGTGTTGTTATTGATGATGAGACACTTGATCGCGTTCAGGAAATTAAATATCTTGGCGTGATTATTGATGACAAACTCAAGTTCAATTCTCATATTGACAATGTCATCAAGAAAATTGCCAAGAAGTATGGAATCCTATGTCGCTTGAAAAACGATTTAACTATTGGTAGTAAAATACAGTTATACAAATCAATCATCTCCCCTCATCTAGACTTTTGCCCTTCCATTTTATTTTTGGCCAATGAAACACAAATATCGAGATTACAGCGTTTGCAGAATAAAGTAATGCGTTTGATTTTAAGATGTAATAGATTCACTTCCTCAACTTTTATGCTGGACGCTTTGCAATGGCTGTCAGTGAAGCAAAGAATTGTGTTTTTGACTATGGTGTTCATTTTTAAAGTAGTTAACGGTTTGCTGCCTCGATATTTGTGTGATCGGATTGAAAGAGGAAGTGATTTTCATAGATATAACACTAGAAACGCGGATGAAGTAAGAACACCACATCTTTTGAATAATGCTTCACAAAATTCATTATTTTTCAAAGGTATAAATGTTTTCAATTCGATGCCTAGACACATCAAGCGTGCAACTACACTTACAGAATTCAAGAGACGCTGCATTTCACATGTAAAAGCTGTTTATTGAGCAGTTAAATTTTTATGAATGGATAAATCATGTATCTTGACAAAGTTATCTCTAACGGATTATTTTGTATGGAGACTGTCATATAGACATTTTAGTAATTGGTGTAGCATATACAAAAAACTACATTGTTTGCCTCGATGGTGATGATGGATTTTTAGTTTTTTAATTTTGTAGTAGTAATAGTAAAAATAGCTTTGAGTAGTCTACGATGGTTTGAGCCTCGCGCGCGGAATACAGGTATAAATGACTAATACGTGGAAATTGTGGCAAAAGCCTTGAATTAGTAAAGGGTTGGCTGGAAGTCGTTTCCTTGGATATAGTCCTGGCACTGCGGAAGCTTAAACGTGTAAATCCCAGGTCACGTGTAAATGGAAGTATTGTCGAGGACTATACTTGGACTTTTGATAACTAGTTACACCTTTGAATGTTTTTGGTTGATGCCTATAGCATATTTAACAGGACATTTATATCTGTAATTGTAACCAGCTCGATTTTGTTTGCAAACCTGGTTAAAATGTTTATATTTAATTATCTTAAAGATAACTCGTCCAGCTCAAACCTTTGTAGGGGTAAGAGGTGGGACCATCATCATCATCATTAACTTGCTACTCCTTAAAAATACCTCAATATAACATATTCTCCTAGATTGGAATTCTATAGCATAACATAAACCTAATGGTTGTATCTTAGCATTTCGTAGTCCAAATTGAGAGCGTTATGTTATATTTAAGCTCTATAACTAGCTTGCTGGTTTTATTCGGTACAGTGAATCAAAACAAAACAAAAACCATGACCACCTGTCAAAAAGTCAACATTCCAAGCGATCCTCCTATTTTCGCTTGTAATCAAAATGTAAGAAATGCTTATTGGATCCACTAAAAGCTTTTTCAATACAAGGTTTAAAGCCGTGATGTCAATACTGGCCATCTCCAAACGGATTTAGTGAAACTGTCGGCGTTGCTTTAAGAAGGGTTCGTCGATCTTTCGGAAGTGTATCGGAAAGCCGCTTGTTCAATATTTTTAAGAGCTCCTTCACCGCACTGTGCCTTATGTAGGGATCGTATAACTGTAGTTCCTCCAGGAGTTTCATATTGTCGATCGTCTCATCTTCATCGTGTTCAGAAGCACTGAAGGGGTTTTCATTTCATATATCTGAATAGATTTGTTTTTTATAATGACAAAAAATTTCAGAGTATTTTTTGTTGTAGCAGTATATTTCTTATCTGTGAATCTTAGGCCTCTGATAAAGATGATAGTTGTAATGAAGCTTTAATGAAGGTCTAAGACTGCTTCAAGTTTTATATCGGTCATAAAAAGTGTACCATAAAACATAATTGTATGTTTTGTTTTGGTTTTATTCTTCAGTTATAAGTAGTGATGCAGAACCACCTTACAGCTACCGTTAAAACTATGAAGTCTGAGTTTTAATTTAGTAGTCATAAAACAGTTTTATAGACGACTTGACGGCCTGATTTTATGACAAGCACACAAAACCGTAATACAACCACAGGCTGGAAGGGATGCTATGATAAAACAATGATAAAATAAGAATAAATCTTCCAAGCATTTAGATTGTTACTTGGGATTGTTGGGATGCATTTGGACTCATTATTATAGTGCGTCGTGCCCCTTTGTTGTAGAGCATTTTTCCCCAGCATGGGTGCATTTTGCCCCGATTAGAGGCATTTCCAGATTATTTTATCATTTTTTAAAATCAATTTTTTTAAGGTATTTTTTTTTTCAATTTTTTATGTATGTTGCGATTATAAATAACTAAATAATGCTTAAGAGAATCTAGGTGCTACGTGATATTAACTGTTGCTTTTAATTTTAATGGGAAAACACCTTGGTTTCCTTAAATGGTGCATTTTACCCCAGTAACCCCTGTATGGCTCGACACAGGTACAAATAAAATGAAAAGATGCATTATTATTTCTTTGATAGAAATTATTTCTTTCATTAACATTACAGCAGATCACTAGTGGCGATAAATACACTATGTTATAGGTTGTTTCACTTATATCTTCGGTTTGGTTGGCTTGAAAAAGGATAAAATTCTGATTGGGGATGGTCTGTCTAATGCATTGAGTTTTCAACTTATCGATATCACCCACTTCCTAAAATGTGCATCTAAAAGATTTTTCTGTGTGTGGCATCGACAAGAATGAGATCTAATGATCAAAAAAAGCTTGATTTAAACCAAGTGACTACCAGTGTTTCTTTCGCCACTACAAGTAAATAAGTATTTACCAGAACTTCTATCACCAGGAGATAAAATTAAATCATGCTTGAAGTATACCACAAATTGTCCACAATACATGGTGGTCTGTGCCACTACACAGTGTCCAAACAGTGAAAAACGTGATCTCGTGGAATTACTCCTGAACCATTTATTTTAGGTAAATAAATAGTGTCTTAGGATAAGTTTCTAGGCTTGAACAACCCTATTTTAGGACGGTACCCGTTAGTTGATTTCCCCCCCTAAATGTGGAACACATTTTTTGTTTTAAGTTGAAGACAGGTGTACGAGAAAGGCAAAAATGTGTATCCTCCACCCAGCACAAAATATACTAGTACTGAAATTTCCTTTTTATGAGAAGTTCTACTGACTGGAGCCGGATTGGAGTGTGTGCCATAAAATTTCGATAATCTTAAATTTTAATCCGTAAAAAAGACACCACTCTGATGCATGAGCATCAAGAACATCCCTGAATTATAGCATCCAAATGTCACAACAAACTTTCCACTGTCGGAATGAAGGGTTTTCCACCATGTCAAACATGTTCCAATAATAACGCCCGAGCATGCGCCTTTCTAATTTCCAATGCTTCCATCTCCGATCACTGCAAGGCGCTATTCGAGCCAAACCCATCGCCATCATATGGCACCGTTCGTCAGTACTAGGGTCGGAAAATACGGCCCCGTCAGTCTGTAGTGAATAGCGATACGTTACTGATCGGCCAAACGCGTCGTATTCCGAGATAGGCCGTACATTCGCGACCTGCCCTACAACAGGCAGAACAACGGTCAGGGTGCGCCGCTGTGCGGGGACTTACTTGTGGCACCGTGGGTTTGTGTAGGTGTGAAAGCATTCCACCCGAAAGAGCCTCTGAAACGATGTGCCCTGTGGGGTGAAATGGCTGTGGAAAAAAGCAGTGCACCAATGGGAGGGCAAGATTTTGCTTAGCCTGCTTGCTCGTACCTACGTTGTTCGGTGTAGTGAATTATGTCAAATTATTGTCGTTACTAGTAGGCCGAGTACAGAGTTCATGTTTGTACGAATCGCTTACAAGGGAAAGCGTACAATTGCAATGGATATAATGCGGATTACTTCATGCTGGATACAGTCACAAGGATACGGATAGCAATCGATGGGATTTTCTAGTAAAAAAGCAGCAGTGATTTTGGGCTGCTAGGCGACCGTGGATTTACAGTTTGCGAATATTGATTTATGGATGCCTCCGTGGAAAGAACACCACAAGGATATATAGAAAAGGATACATGTACGTGCAAGGAATGAGAGCACGACGTCTGTGTGGTGTGTTTGATACTGCCAAGTGAAACGATGCTATGAAGAGAAAAGAAAATCCATACCAAGGCACACAAAAAAAGGTTAAAATGTTATTGAGCATGTCAGAAGTGCAAGAGCTTCAGGTGGAATGAGAGATAGTGAAACCAGAGTGGTACGGTGGAGTCTTTCAGTGATTAGTGAGAGTAAATGATAGATTAATTGCAGGATGAGTGGTAATCAAGCGTAAATCAATCGAATTACTATCTGATGGGATCGGTTCAATTCACTTTCCGTCGGGAGTGATTCCAAGAAGTTCAAAACAAAGAAAAATACTACTCTGTTAGTGCGATGTCCTTCGTCAGGTGACCAATCAGTGCTTGTGTGGAGAGAAGAAATCCTAGAAAAATGAAAATGTCACGATTCACGAGTAGATGTGATAATGATGCAGTAGAGTGTTAAACGTGCGAGATAGAGAGAAGAAAAAAGTAATTCCATAAAGAGAAGAACGGATGATTCTTCCAAGTGTAAAAATGCCGTCAATGATCAAGTAGCGTGACCAGCATAAACATGTTGATATCACTGGTATTAATAATTCCCCTATTCACCCCGATTATATCCGGCGGTGGAGGTGATGAAAATGATTCCGTAAAGAAGACGACTTCGCGCGTTGTGCATATTAAATACGGTTCGGTGTCTGGTACTATCGAACATTTGGATGGGAGACATCTGGACCCGGTGGAAGCGTTTCGGGGGATTCCCTATGCTTCGCCCCCGATCGGTAACCTTCGGTTCATGCCACCGGTTACAGGTGCCCTCTGGTCCGGTGTGAAAAAGGCAGAAAGGTAGGAAATTCCAACGCCCAAATCGATTTGGATCAATTTTTCTACATTAACCATAATATGGACCTGATTTCAACGGTGAAACCTTTCTTCCACAGGTTCAGTCCAGTCTGCCCACAACGTCTTCCAGACATTGCCAACGAAACTGCGGCGCTGGAGCGAATGCCTCGTGGTAGATTAGAATATTTAAAACGACTCTTACCACACCTAAGAAATCAATCAGAAGATTGCCTGTACTTGAATATCTACGTCCCAACCCAAGGTAAAGAAGCGAACATAGGGGACTGCAAATTGAGTTATCTTACCTCAAACTCTCGCCAGCAAAAACAGCACTTCTTTCTTGCCAGTTAGGTTAAGGGTCGATTATTTTTTCCCGCTTCGTTGTACATTTTTACATGGGTGGAGCCAAACGGGGCAATACGGAGAAGTAAATTTTCCATTTATTAGATAAAATACCTGTCGGAATTGCACTAGCCACCCGGACGTCTGAGTGACTTTCAGTGCTTTGAAGACAATAAGCTGATTCTAAGAATGTTGATTTCCAGAAATTTCGCAGATTATATACAAGGAAAATAAAAGATAAACATTTTTGAGATTTGTGAATGTCGATTCAACAAAAACAACCAAATTAATGGCCAATAACTGGTCCCCCATTTAAGTGATTTTTCTGTTTTTTATAAGGATCAAAAAAGAAGAAAGAGAATATAAAGATATTTGCAATGTCAGTTTTCTTAATGATCATTGCAAGAGCAAATTTTCATTACGTCGAAAGTAACAAAGGTAAACAAAGTCGAGCTATCAGTGTCAATCGATTCTCCTGCTATTACACTATATACTGTCCGAATATAGGATCACCTCCCATTTTTAAATTTATTTACCAGTCAAATTGCTTTTTAACGTAATCACCTTCCGATCAAAATAGTTTTCGATGTTACTTAAGTCACCCAATTTCTATGGAGATGCCGTTTGTCTTAAGTAACAGCGCTGAGAAACCCGTGAAAAGTGTACGTTCGTCGTTTCGCTTTCTCATTATTAAAGTGAATTAATCGAACTGTTTGTTGCTAAGATGATTTCGGTGGTCCTAAAATGATGAATGGGCTGCAAGTAAGGAGACGTAATTGATAATTCTCCCGAATATCCTGGTAAATACACTTTGGCTTAAGTAACAATAGGGGCCACCAAATGACGTATAATAACTTTTGACTCAAAAACCAGTATTTTTTTAGCATGAAAGCTAGCGATTTGCATTTGTATGATAAAAACCCTGCTTACTACGTTAAACATTGCTATCACTATGAGATTATATGTGTTTAATTGGAAATAGGAATAACTTTTCGGTCATCAAAACAAAACTTTATTTTTCTCGGATTGGTGCGAATGTTACTTACGACATAATGAAAATTTGCTCTTGGTTGAGCCTTTTTTAGATAAGCTGATTAATTTATTGCAACAATTGCCCTCAAGTAGAAAATAATCGAAAATGTCTTTTTCATGCCTTTCGATGGTGAAATTCACAGGTTTGGGTAATTTTGTAATAAAATCTACTAGTTTTAAAATAAATATTTATAAGCGATCCCGACATTTCATTTAAATGTTGAAATTGATTGATTAAGGTAGCTTTGGTATGCTAAACTGATTTTTGGTGATAAAATTTACCCAAACTATGTATTTTTACTTGTAGGGTGGTACTAAAATAATGTAATCTGGTATTTACAAAAAATAAAATATCAAAAATGTTTATGATTTATTTACAATTTGTAAGTGAAATTCAATGTTTTCATAACACGGAACATACTAAAATCAAAATGATACCATTCATAATTATTTAATACATGATAGTACTCGATACATATATACATATATCTCAACTATGCATAATTATTTAATACTCCGGGAATATTGAAAAACCTACGTACTAGTGTGTATCGGAAATCGGCGCCGTTGGTGTAGTGGTAAGCGTGATTGCCTCTCACCCCAGCAGGCCTGGGTTCAACCCCAGTCGGAGCCGGCGGGATGTTCTGAGGCATAACATCTCTAATCATTACGCCTTCCTTCGGAAGGGAAGTAAAGCCGTTGGTCCCCGGTTCATGAGTTGATGGGTCGATATGCAGGGTCCAGGTGTGGGAGCTGCCTCCCTGGCATCGGTAGCATTGGTGCTCAGCACGGAAAACAAGATCGACGGTAAACAAATCAAGAATAAAAAAAATAGTGTGTATCGAAAAGAAAACGCTTTGAACAGCAAGTAAGGTGGGGCAAAAGATGGACCGGTGTTGAAAAACTTAAAAAAATCAAAACTGCAAGCATTTGGAATCAAACTAATATCATACACAGGATCCCTCGATCAAGGTTCATAGCTTTCTCTTACAGATTTTGATGATTTTCAGTCCATTCGTAGCTCGTAGCGGAAGAGTGTACAAAACGAACTTTCCAAGTTCGTTTCCACAATGATTTAAAAGTGTTTGCTGTCGTTCGCTCTATTGATAGTTGTTCACTAGGTTATGGTATTTTTTGTGTGCGCTTTATTCTTTCCTTGCAGTCGGTCAGAACTTTTTGCCATCGCCGTTCGTTTTAAGCAATAATTTCAATATGTGCGAAATAAAACACACTTTGTATTTTGCTTATCCAAATGGCTCAGCGAGTTCTACGATGGGCAAAATTGCATCTTTCATGAAATTATTGGACGCATATGCTGTTGACAATGATCGCCACATATCGCATTGCGAAGGAAAATCATTGTATCTGCAGCAAGGATGCCTTATACCTTGATGCGGGGACCATGTTTAATATTTTCGTGTGTACGATTTGCCACCGGAGCTAATAAGCGATAAGGATCTTACGTTGGTACTAGGAAATGCGCGAAAGTGAAGCGTTTCATCCAGGAAAAATTTCCACCAGAGTTGGGCCTGAATATGCATACAAGTGTAAGAGGTATTTACATGGTCTTGGGAAAGAAGAATCGCTTCATTTCCTCAATCGGAAGAGGAAAATATTCTATTCGCGAATAAAGATAAATGCTTTCTTTGTTAGGTAGAGGCATTTACATTCATTTACATTCATTTACATTCATTTACATCTAACTTTTTTCATCATCAGAATTATGTAAAATAATGTAGATAACGTTTGTAGGTTTTGATATCAACTATAACTTTTGTCAAAGACTCAAATCTGTATCTTTTAAGCATGACGAACTAGAGTGGGCAGAACTTGTTATTGTTTATCAGTGAATGAAATTTACATTCACTGGAAAACAATGGTGCTTCCTATTCGCTCTGGTTCATAATTTATAAAAGATAAAGATTTGAGTTGTTCCCATAAGTTATAGCTAATATTAAAACATACATGCATCAATTTATGGAATTCTGGTAATAAAAAAGTTAATGTCAAATGAATGTAAATGAATGCATGAAATGAATGTAAACGATTTTCCATGCCTGGGTGGAGGACCAGCGAATGAATTTCTTCTCTCAAACAGAAGGTCTGCAAGCAACCGGAAGAAGGAAAACGAAAGGATGAACAGGGACAAAGTAAAAAATCAGAGCAGTACATACGTTAGTGTAGCGGCTATAAGCACTTTGGACAGCAACAATCATAACGAGGAAGTAATCAAGGAATAGCATAAGGAGGTGGTAAAAATGGACGTGGTGGCCCTGGAGACCAGAGCCCTAAAGTCGGAATCCAAAATGAACATAAGGCGGATCTTACGGCACGCGAGGCGATGGAGAAGAAAAGGAGATTGGAAGAAATGAAAAAAGATTGGTGAAAAAATCAAAAGTCAATAATTCGGATATACGCAACGAATCCTGCATCGCATTGTCTGCTTCTCATCAGCGATTTTATGCTATCGCAGTAAACGTAGCTCTCGTTATGACAAATACAGTTAGGGTTTTTGATCTAATTTCCGTCCTATTAAGAACATCCCGTTCATAACGTGTCTTTTTTGAACGGATTGTTACAAAAAAAGGAATGTATCTATTAAAGACGACTCTAAATTTACTTACCATTTGATGAGTACCATTTAATTCCATTAAAAAGTTATAAATTTCTGTATTTTATAGCAATTAATTCACTGCCTACTTTTTCCAATTTCGTCCTATGCGTTTTAAATCCGTCCTACAAACATTTTCTTCGTCCACACCAAAAACTACATTAATGTTTACAAACGCAGTGTACGCGTATTAGTGCATAACGTCATCAGAAATGTCATCCGTGTAAAAATCTCTCAGCCGACAATCGTTTTTTTCAAAAGGTCTATTTTGGATTCGAAGGAATGCCGGATATAAATGAAAATGAAAACTATACATTTTTTTTACTTTATTTTTTAGATTGATAACTTAATTTTATTAAAAATTATTTTAGATTATACGATTTGGTTTTAATTTAGTCCATTGGAAGTCCATTGACATGGAAAAAATGTGTTTACATGATATAACATACATTTACTGTTTTTTACGCGGATTCCGGAATTAACACATCTGTCTTTATTTGCTCAGCTAGGTTTAATGAGAAACGCTTTTTAAGCAATATTGTTTTTGTTTTCCCAGGTTTATACTACGTGGATTTTATAATTTATATGGTTTTCAGAGTTTACACGTTTTTTAAAGGAATTTCTGGAATTATCCCGGAGTTTTTACACGGCACGTATGATCCCATAAAAACCGACTCCAGTTTATATTTTGATAAAGAAAAGCTTCTAGTTTGTACAGAAACATGTTTTCGTACATTCTGCTCATTCATCAGCTTTAAGGCCCGAACACAATGATAGCGGAAGCAGAGCTCCAGCGAAAAAGCCCGATTTGAGTAAGTCAATGAGTGACATTGGTAGCTACGGTGGCTGAGCACGTATGCAGGAAACACGACTTGCGAAGATAGCCATCATCCAGCCAACGTTTTTCCCAAAAGTTGATAAAAAAAATAGCGGTGCCGGTGGTGTAGTGGTAAGCGTAATTACCTTTCACCCCAGCAAGCCTGGGTTCAATCCCAGTCGGCGCCACCGGGATGTTCTGAGGCATAACATCTCTGATCACAACTTCCTTCGGAAGGAAAGTAAAGCCGTTGGTCCCCGGTTCATGAGTTGATGGGTCGATATGTAGGGTTCAGGTATCGGAGCTTAACGTTCAGGGTAACTAAGAGCGATCGACATACACGCTTCTTCAGCTTACTCACCGGGTACCGTACTCAATTTCGGCTGATGCATTAATCTGTAAAAATATGAGTAAACGAGAAATGTCACACTGAGTGAAAGCTACTCATTCATTCAATTCCGGGACTTAGAAAAAAATGGCAGCCGTGTCGGAGAAAACGCTCTGAGAAACGGAAAAATTGTAGTAAAACACCGGCCGAAATGTATTAAGCTAAGTAGGAATTGCATGCGGAGACGGTTTTCAGTCGTCTTCAGCTCCAGTTAAATGAATCTGGAGCAGGCAATTTCCATTAAAAAAAAAAAAAAAAAAAAACTTCCCGTCTGAAAATATCACAGAGTGTTACATTCAAAGTGTTTTTTTATGTTACTTCATACGCGAAGTTAACGATTTTCAGAGTTGGTTGGAAATGCTAACATGAAGCTTTAGTGTGATGATTTATTAGCTAGAGAATGATCTTTAGAAGAGGGTAGGTGGATAGTTCCGTTAGAGTACGGCAGTATGAAAATTGAATAGAAGTTGAAAATGAGCGAAGGGCCTGTGGACTTGGAGACATACTTCAAGTCCCCGCGTACATCGTACGGGCTAGGCAAAAATGTGCGTCTATCTTGTAAACTGTCGCTTTAATGGCCCTTCGCTCATTTTCAACTTCTATTCAATTTTCATACTGCCGTACTCTAACGGAACTATCCACCTACCCTCTTCTAAAGATCATTCTCTAGCTAATAAATCATCACACTAAAGCTTCATGTTAGCATTTCCAACCAACTCTGATCACAGAGTGGTTTTGACTCACTTTGCGTGAGAACGTCGTTTACTCAAAAGTGAGTAAAAGTGCTCCTACTCACGTTTGAGTAGCCATATTTCCCGCTGAAATGAGCATGTTCGACTCAATTTTGAGTTTTTGCGAGTTAACGTGTAGAACGAATCCAATGGAAACAATTTATTCCCACGGTAGATTCAACGAAGTAGTGTCCATCAAGTACTTATGAGCTGTTCACAAACTATGCCGTAACTCACTGACCCGTAACTCCATAAGAAGAGTGTTACACATTGATGAGAGAGAGGGAGGCGGTGCACAATAATGTCACGTGTAATATTATTTCACGTGGGGGTTACGGGTCGTTACGTTACACTATAATTTGCGACCAGCCCCTTAAGTAAGTGAATACTATTAGACTCTATTGAATAAATTGACTCATGTAAGGGATTTCGACAAGACGATGGCAAGAGATTGAAACAACTACAGACCTCATAAGCTGACGCATCATGTGTAACAATTTATGCCAAATTGAGAGATTTAGGTAGTTGGGTAATAAATAAAAACAAATGAAAATTTCGACGATAACAATTTATTTATTTAGAGATTATAATTCTGAATCATTAGATTATCAACTGTTGTGCTGTAATTAGGGCTTCTTCGTATGTTTCTTTTATATCTCTGACATGTTCGATTCCTTTCACGATATCAGCACGCATTTTGCGTGGTTTTCTGATCTTTTTAGTCTCATTTTCTTTTAATTTTTGTTCCAATTTAATTTTCCTTGCCTCCTTCTTCTGTAGCTTGGCTTCTTCTCTGTCTGCTTTTCTTTTCAATGCAAGTTGCTGCCTTTTTCTCTTCTCTTCTTCAATCAGTAGTTTCTTCCTGTACCGAATCTCTGACTTTTCAATCCGTTGCCTCGCAGCTTTTTTTTTTCATATTTTCAGCCAATTCCAATTCCCTCAGACGTTCTGCGGCTGTCAACACAGCGTAGGATTTTTGTTTATAGTTGCGATGGAATGATGCACGTGATGGTGTTTTCGGGCATTGTAAGAAATTCGTTAGTGTTCCAGCCATAGGACTAACGCATCTCAGCATATCACCTGTAAATAACAATACGGAAAAGTTTTAAATCCTTCATAGTAAATATTTGATTCATTTTATAATTGATTTTTTATATCTCTATTAAGGAGACTTTAAGCCCTGACAATTGAAATTCATGTATGAATAGTCAAACTTAGTTTAGCTTCAAACGTCAATTTATCTAAATTACAAGCTCGCCTACACAAACATACACTTTCACAGGATGGATATACTTCACCCTTCCAATCGAACATGGCTCGAGTAAATAGTCAAATCAACTTAAGTAATTTGGTTATCCATACCTTCAAACATCAATTTATGTAAGCGTAAACCACCGTCATATAGGACATAACTACTTTAGTATTTACGTCAATTTGATTATTTTCTCGAGCTACATATAACATTTTCAATTTACTGACATTCCGGTCTTTTGTGTCATAGTGTAGTTCGATTGAGACGGATTTTGATAATTCGATTGGAACTTCGTGGTGTAAGACGTCCACACTTTTACTGAAGGGCATGGCCCTAATGTTGGTGTTAGTTTTTCAGAAATTACAGGTATTACGTTGTTAGTTTACGTGGGCGAGCGTGGGCGTGATAATTTATACTTGAATTATACATTTAATTTAGGGATCTTTGGCATTAAAGTTTTGTGTAGTTTCCCATATATAAACTTACTTTCCAGCGAGGATGTTAATAAATCGGCTCCTAATTCATCAGCTTGATTATAGATTTTGCTGCCAAATAGTTGGTATGCTGCATGAAAAATTTGATCAGGATTAGAACAACTTGTTTAGCTGAAAAATTGATGAATATACATACCAATGGTTTCCAAATCAATCATATTCCCCGATGCTTTGTTGACAATAGTTTGGTCATTTTCAGTGTTATTTAGCATATATAATCCTTCATCAATGATATCCGACGTAAATACGGAATTCTCAAAGCTTTCATTGTAAGTATCAGTCGTATCGTTCAATACAATCGTATCCGAAGCCATCTCAATACCAGCTACTTTGTCAACAATGATTTGGTTACTTTCGGTGCTTGTCTCCATGCATGATCCTTCTTCAACGATTTCTGAAGTGACTACAGGTTCGTCAGTGGTTTCATGGTAAGTATCAGTCGCATCTTTGAATGCATCGATGGTGGCGAGTGAGAATCTATCATCTGATTTGCTCAAACTCAAAATGTGCTCATAAATATAGGACAGCACTTTGTCCTCTTGAGGCATGTTTCCTGATTCCTCTGAAAGATAAAGACTAATTTTTGACTGCCCCAGCATTTCCACTGCCTGATTTATAACATCCTGTGGAACTAAAACATGGGTTTCTAAAGTCGCCTTCCAGTTCGATGGGCATGATGATGCTATCTGGGTCTCCATATACTTCCCGTGAGAGCTTACGGTTTCGGTACACAAAAAGTGACTCTCCTCTGTTGAACTGTCATCTGCTGTTGGAAATTTTGAATCAGAATCCTTCGTTGCAAAATCTTCGCCACCGTTGATCAAATTAACTTCTTGATTTTCAGTGCTTTTTGCTATGCACTTAGAAAAGTTCACTGCGTCAGGATTATAAGGGACCAACCCACATGCAGAAAACCCATTAATGATCGTTAATTTCTTGAAAGACTCAGCCATAGTTTTCTCGAGCAATGGCCCAAAAGTGACCAGTGTCATCTTTTCTGAGATGTGATTTGATCGCCAAGCATCAAGTGTTTTGCCCCAATTGATTTTGTGTGGCCTAAAGATGGCGACATCTGCTGGCTGAAGTATCCTGGTTGCATTTGGATACAGGGCGATCAATATAATCCCCAATTGATAACATGTATCCGCAGCCTCCAGCGCAATGTGAGAACTGTGTCCATCAACGAAAAAGATAATCGGGAACTTCGTTCCTCTCTTAATCAGTGTAGGGTGAAAAATCTTTTTGATGTACATGATAAAATTATGGGTATTCATCCATCCATTTTCAGATGAGCCCAATCCCCAATCACCGGGGAATGATCGAAGTACATCGCGGCTGAATCGTTTTCGGGGTAGAATGACATCAGGCGGAATTACAAACCCATCGGCAGAAAACGAAAACATAACTGTAACGTTAAGTTTACTGCACGTTGTTTCTACAAACGAAACGTTTTTATTTCCTGCTGTTCCGATTACTTGATTTGGCACTGGGTTGAGGCTAAATCCAGTCTCATCTCCGTTGAGGATCCTCGTCGGGTCATTCAATATGTCCGTCAATTTATTGTCTTCGAGGTAATTATAGACCGACCGGAACCAGTTCCTTATATCTTTCTCCGAAACTTTGGAGCTTGCCGCCGTCACATACTCAGGAGTCCTTATGCTCAGCTCAGGGTGACGGTTCACGAACAGTTTGAACCATGTTTTTCCTGTAATGTAAACAACAACATTTCAGCACATCTAAATAATGGGTTTCTTATGAAAAATCAATTACCGGGAATGTTGTCATTGAACGGAGTTGATCGAGGAAAGGACTTTAAGTAGCTTTGAATTTTGTACTTCAAACAGCTCTGCGTTAAAGGAAATCTTTTCCTTTCCATGGTTTGCAGCCATCTGACAATATCTTTTTCTTCTTGTGTGGAAAACACTGTATATGGTCCTCTTGTGCCTTTATGCTTATACTCTTTGCTTAGACGATACTGGAGTATTCCGCATTGCTTTGCCGCAGAATATATTGAAGCCTTGTGGCTTCGTTTGTCAGTAAGCGCGACAAGAAGCAAAGATTCAGTGTACGGCTGTTGTTTCGACTTCCGGGATTTACTCGAACAGACGGCTGCTCTCAAGACAGGTGTTGTCGTTGGACCAACCATGGCATATATTGGACTACTCAGTGTTGCTGTTGTATTAGTTTATGTGCGAAAAAAGAAAAAAAAAAAATATGATGATGTTCATCGCAGCAGCGGTTAATTTACAATAAGATACAATTTAAGCAAATCAATAATAAAAAATCATAGAACGAAAAAGTGACTTCCAATCAAATTGGCGTATGAGACAAATTAATAGGAAAAACTTAATGCTTTTCAGGAAAAAAGTACACGGCATTTTTTGATAATTTTTGTTTGCGTTAAAAAGACTCCTTACACCTAAAAGTTCTTTTTCGGGCAAACATCTTCAACAAAAAATTTAAACAATAAGTTGCAATATTTGCCCGCAAGTATTTGTTCTATCGATCGAAGAATCACTGTTTTTCGTACCTGAGCACTGAAATGATAAATCCAGCGGTTCTACATCCGAGCACACCGCCCTTGTTATTTGATCCAGCACCTCCTGTTCCTCCACCTCCATTGGTTCCTGGACATCCTCCTTCGTGAAACGTATCTGCCAAATAAAGAACAGTTGTTTTTAGTTTTCACAATAAGTAAATAAAAATTTATTCCTTATCATGATAAAACAGCAATCGATTCACGTTAATTTTCGTCTGCACTAAGGCTAGCGGATGATAGATTAGCAAGCAACAGCTGTGGCTAGCAAAATGTGTGGCAGTTTTGAAACTTCCTCTGTCCTACGCACGGCTCCTCCGTATGTCAATTATATGACGTAGCAGAATTTGTTTACGGAATATGGGTCAGTAAAAACAAGACTGTGCAATCTACCAAACCTAAGATGAATCTCACTGCCTTTTTACGGCTGTGACAGGAGCGCACTGATTAACCAAAAGGGCCTACACGGTAAGAAAAAAGTACCCAAATTTGAGTTCCTTTCACTCATCACGTGGCTTCCGTGGGGCTAGGTAAAATTAAGTTAAAGAAGAAAACTCAATTTTGAGTAATCCTGATCATGAATCCACGTTTACCAAGTTGACAAAAAAATAATAAAACGGAGCAGACTGGAACCGAACCATGGACGTTGAGATTACGGGGCCTGTGTGTTGACCACTCTTCTATCAACGCTTGTGAAAATGAAATGGTTGAAGGCGCATAAAAGCAACCTCAATGAAAATAAACTTATATTTGAGTTCATTTATTATTACTCAATAGTTGAGTAAATTTTAACCAACGCCGCTTTTCTGATTCACTCAACGGCGGACCTCAAATGATAGAACCCAACGTTTTTTTTTAACTTAATTTTGAGTATTTTTTCTTACCGTGTAGGCAAAACTTTAATTGGCCTGATTTAAGTTTGTTGTTAATTATAAAGCACAACATTTGTCGTAAATTTCAGCCACTATCCTTCATTTTTATGCTATTTATTATTTGGGTTTGACTATTGTGGTACATGAAACGTGTAAAATTGAATAATCATCCATTGAATCAGTTGTCATAAAAGCTCCATTAATGTATTGCAATTAGAAACATGATACGCCCTGTAAGAATATTTATCTACTAGACCCTTTTGAAAAAAGGAGTCACTGATGGTGGTAAGCTCTAACCGGTGTTATCCTCGCATTCAATCCTGATCAAGAATATCATACTGCTTTGACGTCGACATCAGAGTTAATCAACACGACTCTAAGCAAACATTTGGCAGATCATTCAAACATAGTCGGTATTTAAAGTTATTCCGAGATGGAGCTTACCGCCATGAGAAACACTCACACAACAAATTTGTGTACGTACACGAAAAAGTGATGGCAAATACAATAAATTAAATATATTTTGTGTTTTTTAGTATCAATCTGTCTCAATGATCGCAATTTGAGTTTAGTAAATGTTGTTAAGGTATTTCAATATTACAATTTATGTTGGATCTTATAATACAAAATAACAGCAGAAAAACAACTTTCGGCCATATAAGTGGGTTATTCCAATTAAAAAAAAAATAGAAATTTCTCGTGCTAATTATGCTACCCATCAATCTGGCACCAAGGACGTCGATATAGTTGTTTTGATCGAAGAAAATTTTCGGATGGACCGTTACCACCACACATCGCTTATTGAGCAGAGAAATGAAGCACTTTTTGATTCAGTGATTTGTTTGCACTTCCTCTTCTGTCTGTGACATGAATGTAGTACATTTTGCCATCAAGCATTCGTCAGCTGCTTATGCTGACATCATACTGTTTGACAAATTTTTACAAACATATTTAACCAAATATATGTATTTGACGAAATATTAAGTTTGTATTTGTCATTCAATTTATTTGTCACTTCTCAAATAGTGTGATGGCCTTTTTATGTTTTGTAAAACATGTTTGCTGAAAACAGCCAAATAATTTATTGATTGAAATTATTGAGTAGCAAACAACACCGCATCTCTTGCTGTGATCGATTTATGTAATTTGACACATCTTTTCAAATGTATTTTTGATTGAAAAGCATAATATTTCACACGAATTTTATATGATAAATCGAGCTGTTATTTAGGGTCCCTCCCAGATCCCGAACCGGTTCCCCTGAAATCTGTTTCAGAACAAATAAATTGGAGAAATGGATTTACTCGATGCAAACAAATCGAGGTGAGAGGAATTCATGGGACTTCTCGGATAGTTTCTTTAACTTTACTGGGATTGAAGGAACTTCATAGAACCCGAAGCTTCCCATGATTAACATGGATTAACATCCTCAATGATAACATCCTCCACTTTGAACTGCATGACCCTCTGGTTAAGCATTTTTTTAACTAGTTCGTTTATTTGGAAGGCTCAATCGCGTTAGCTTTACGGAGCCAATAGTTTGGTTAAGCATTTGTAGGATACTCGAAGCAAAACGCATGCATATACCTCTCTTTCGACCAGCAGCAGCATGGTTTTCTCATTTTATAACCCTTAGATAAAGCCTTGCGTTTTTGGTGTTTTCAACAATAGATAAAGCCGCCGGTTAGACATTTTGAAGGAACTTTGTATGACCTTTGTTGGCTACTAGAGCCTCAGGGTAGCCAGCTAACCACGTTCCACGTGAAGAGTGTCTATATAAAAGATAATTACTCATCGAACAGTGTATGAGGAACACAAATCGGGCAACTAGACCCAGATCTATGGTTCACCGCGCAAGACCCTTATTTTAAATTAGCCTCGCATTTAAATTTTTTTTACGCATCGTCACATCATATGAATCCATTATTTCTGTAAATATGGTTCAGAGCTGGTTGTGAAGGAGCTGATATGAGATTTCAAAATGATAATATGACTCTCGAAGAAACCTGAGATAAGCAATATTCGCTTGTTACATGAAAGTTTTTCTTCAGAAAATTTGTTTCAGAACTGATTCCTGTGGACCCTGAATGAACTCATGATTGTTCTATGATCTTCCAATCTGATATGGAGTATATGATCTCTAATCTTGGATGAAACCACAGATAAGCAAAATTCGTTTTCATGGCACACATTAAATTGAACCAAATACAATCAGCAATTAAATATCAAAACCATGGCCAAATAAATAAACTCAGTCAACTGCAAACAATAGCGGCGCTGGTGGTGTAGTGGTAAGCGTGATTGCCTCTCACCCCAGCAGGCCTGGGTTCAATCCCAGTCGGCGCCGCCGGGATGTTCTGAGGCATAACATCTCTGATCACGCCTTCCTTCGGGGAAGTAAAGCCGTTGGTCCCCGGCTCATGAGTTGATAGGTCGATAGGTAGGGTCCAGGTGTGGGAGCTGCCTCCCTGGCGTCGGTAGCATTGGTGCTCAGCACGGAAAACAAGATCAACGGAAAACAAATCAAGGAAAAAAACTGCAAACAATATTATACGTCAACGAATATCTTGACAAATAGCTGGTCAACCATTTTGTAATATTTGATCAAATATTGGCTTAGGCAAACAAATATGACAAATAACATTATTTGGCAAAACTTAACGAGTCAAATATTTGATGTGTGGAAAAACAGTGTGATGTCAGCTTCACTTATGCTCGATGACTTGGGTGATGCAGTGATTCGATTCGTCGATTCGCAGCCGAATAATATCCAGAACAAATGCATCAAAGCGATGTGTAAGCTACTGGAATGCAAGTGAAAATCAGCTATGGATGGCAATGTCGTTTTCATTCTCAAGGAGCTTCCATGGAAAATCTAGAGTTGGTTCCAGGAAAACAAAGTGAATTACAAAATGAAGCCAGTCTGTCCAGCTTTTCAAAACCTGCATCACAACTACTGAATATGATTAAAAATAGGAAGGGGCGCTAAAATGCT